GGGCTGCGGGAGAAGCTGGCCGAGCCGGGGGCGCGCACCGGGAGGCGGCGAGGGGGGCGCATCCCCACCATGGGCTGCCTGGACCCGCAGGAAGAGGTAAGTCGGGGTGCTTTCCGGGGTCCGCAGGCGTTGAATAAGGGGAGACCCGTGGGTGCCCGGGGGTGAAGTTTCGCCGAAGGATGGCACTGAGAGGGAAGCAAAGGTCGAAGGGGCGGGACTGACCACGAGTCCTTCCAGCGAAGTGAGAGGTGCGGGGAAGGGCGCAGGGGAGAAGTTGACACTGCTGGGGGGTTCAGGGGGGCACACCTATGTCTCCTGGGAGAAGCTGGAGAGGAGGGGGTGGGAGGCAGAGAAGGGGCTGCGGCGCTGGCCCAGACGAGAGAGGATTCCCCTGGCGCCCCTCGAACCTGCGATGTGCAGGGTCACGGAGGGAGGCCCCTGGGTGCGCAGGAGACCTGGGTGAAGGAGGGGATCTGGGGTGGGGTGGGGGCGGGGAGGGTACAGAGAGTGGGGTGTGAGTGGGAAGCTGACTGGTGGGGGGAGGGAAAAAGGGGGCTTGGGGCGCGAGGGGGAGCTGGAGCCTGGGAGGATGATACGAGAAAGCAGAGCTACTAGCGTGGGGTATCGGAGGGGGCGCGTGGAGAAAACGCAGAAGTGGAGAGCCGGGGAAGGAGGGGCTGTCAAAAGAAGGGAGGATGGATTGCAAATCCGAACACCCGGGCTCAGGCTCTAGCCGAGTTGTATTTGTTAGTTACTGTCCTCAGCTCCTCCCAAGGCCCCAGGTAGGGGCGGTGGTGGCTGGCGCTGAGGTGAGGAACAGCCATCTAGCTCCTCTCCTCATCCCAGCGTTATCACCCATCCACCCCCACCTCACCCCCAGCGCCCCTCAGGAGCCCTCTACTCCTTGGCCATCAACCAACCCCATGCTCTTGTGGGACCCCTAGGCATCCGGGATTCCTGACTGGATTCTCCTCAGCAGCCAAGCCGGTCTCTGGTCTTGCTTCCACCCTTTGAAGTGCACATAGATCTAATTAGTCTAGGTGTAATTGGCATAATTAGGCAAGTTGCCTTTCCTCTCTCCCTTCATCCCCGTGCTGGTCTGCTGCAGTCATTCCCACTGGACAGTGAAGGGGGGAGGGGAAGTCCTAACCTTTGACGGGAAATATCCAGCGCCCTCTACTGGCTCCCAAGCTACCCTGCAAGTTGTTGGGCCTCCTGGCACACATCCAAGTCCAGCTGCCTCCTTGGCCAGGGAAGAGACACACAAAACAAAGGGCCCAATAAACGCCACTGGGCTTTTATGGCAAGAGGGGAAGCAGTTTTATTATAAGGCTTTTATATACCAACTCTTAGCCCAAGGCTCTGGGTATATGTTTGGTCTGTGTCATGGGATAGGGGGAGGTATTTGTCTGGGATAAACCCTTGGGAAGGCACATAAGGATAGGGGTCAGTGAAAGAGAGAGAGAATGGGCTTGGGGTCGGGTGTGGGGCAGAAGGAAAGGAACCAGGGTCAAGAAAAGGGCATGGATGAGTCTGGACAGGGGATGAGGCTTGGGAATAGGGAAGGGGAGGATAGTGGGCTTGGAATTAGGAGGATGAAGATAAAGTGGAGAGGGAAGGTCAGGAGAGGGGATGGGGTGAATGAGGGTAAAGGAAGCAGTGGGGATGAAGGCTAAGGTCACTCTGAAAAGTGGGAAGAGAACTCACCAACTAAGACCCAGCTCACCTGAGCCAGGAGAGAGGATTCCCCGCAGTATGACACTGAGCATTCACACCCAATTTTTCTTCTCCCCACCCAGGATCTAAGGAAGACCTGGAGAAGGTGAGTTACTCCCACTGTCCCTCCACCTGCCACCATATCCATCACCTTTTCACAGGCCCATATCTATGCCCCCACCTAGGGTAAGACCCTAGGTGGGTCGGGGTGGGGTAGGGGTGTGGACACCAGAGGGTATCTACCAACGTCCTGATCCTTCTTCCTCATCTGTCCAGACTTGATGCCCCAACTCCCAAGACATCCAACACAGTAGACGATCTCCCTGAAGATTACCCAGTGGTCAAAAACATGCTTCATAGGCTGACAGGTAAGGAAGGGGCTAGAAGGGCGGGAATGGGGTGCACAGAGTCTGTGTTAGGTTTGCTCCCTTTTTATTCTGTTTTCTGTTGAGTGGCTTAAACAACAGAAAATCGCTACCATCTCACATTCTGGAGGCAAAAGTCCAAAACCAAGTTCCTTATAAGGGCTGTGAGGGAAAACTGTCTCTGTAACTCCTGGTAGCCTCAGAGGATCCTTGGCCTATGGGAGCCAATCTCCCTTCACATCCTCTGTATGCGTTTGTCTCTGGGTCTAAAGTCTTCCCCTCTTCCCCTCTTTAAAAGGATATCATTCACAATGGACAGACGAGGGTCCACCCTCATGACTTCATTCCAACTTGATTACATCTGTAAAGACTTTTCAAATCAGGCCAACTGGTCCTGGAGAGTGCAATATCTTTTTGGGGAGGAAACACAATTCAGTCCATAAAAATGTCTCTTCTATTCCTCTTATTTCAGCCATTCTTCCTCTTAAGTTTTCATTCACTCATACCCACTTCCTCTAACTTTAACAGACTCCTGGAAGTCAGCTGCCCCTCAAATGTCTTTTCACCAATTCTCATCGTTGTTCTCTAAAAGCTTCCCAGGACTCCTCATCTCTCCGGCCCCACCTATGAGCCTTCTCTGCAGTTTCTGTAGAGTTCCTTCCTCCAACACTCCCAAGATTGTCCTCCATCCTTCCTTAAACTGCCCAGAGAAGACGCTTCACCTTCTTGGTCAGCTACTTCCACCCAACTCAGACAGCTGTGGCACCCTTCACCCAAGTACCCCAGTGATTCCTTCTGGTCCTTGCTGCTCTCAGGGCCTCGTGTTCCTCCCAACTTCCTTACAGAAACGGACCCGTCCACTCCCTGTTCTTGTGGGTGAGTGGGCTGGTTTCTCTGGATGCCTAGGCTTCCTTTCTCAGCCCCTCCTCTCTGTCCCTTGGGGTTCAGTATCTGGTATCAGTCTTTCTCTTTAGGTTCATCCTGCTGACCCAGCTCCCAGGATCCACCCCAGATACTGCAGATTGAGATACCAGACTCCACTCCTCCCTAAAAATCAGATCAGCTTCACTCTTTCTCCCCAACTCCACAAACGAGTCAACCTCTCGATTGATCCCTACCCTCTGCCCCTGCCCTGGGCCAGAGGGCTCTTCTCTACCTCCAGTTCTACAGAAGTCAGGGGTGCCTCAGTGCACAGGTTAGGTCATGCCCAGTCCTGCCCTTCCTGTGCCTGCCCTGGGGTCTCTTACGTGCTCTCCACTACTTTTTCTCCGTCCCTTCCCTCCTGTCTCAGAAATCGCTCTCATGGGGTCCTGTCGCTGTCTTCCCCTCTCCAGCCGACCTGACCCTGGACCCTGGCACAGCGCACCGACAGCTGCTCATCTCCCCGGACTGCCGCAGCGTCAGACTGGCACCCCCGGGCACCCCCGCACCCCCTGACGGCCCAGCGCGCTTCGACCAGCTGCCAGCGGTGCTGGGCGCACAGGGCTTCGGGGCCGGCCGCCACTGCTGGGAGGTGGAGACCGCGGAGGCCGCCTCCTGCGGAAACTCTTCAGGGGAAGAGGAGGACGATGGCGAGAGCCGCTACGCTGTGGGCGCGGCCGGGGAGTCGGTGCAACGCAAGGGCCGCGTGGGTCTGTGCCCCGCGGGGGCCGTGTGGGCCGTGGAGGGCCGCGGGGGTCGCCTGTGGGCACTCACAGCACCTGAGCCCACGCCGCTGGGCAATGCCGGGCCCCCACCGAGGCGCATTCGCGTGGACTTGGACTGGGAAAGGGGTCGTGTGGCCTTCTACGACGGCCGCTCGCTGGACTTGCTGTTCGCCTTCCAGGCCCCGGGGCCCCTGGGGGAGCGCGTGTTCCCGCTGCTGTGCACACGCGACTCCCGTGCCCCACTCCGTATAGTACCCGCGGAAGGTTGAGCCACTCAGCTGCCCCTCTTGTCCCCCACGGTCGCCAACCACCCCTCCCCACCACACACACCTAGTCCGGCCTGCAGCCAGGTTGCTTTCTCTTGGACACAGAAAGCCCACTCATTCCAGGGGTCATGTCCACAGGCCTAGGGCAGAAGTACCAATAAGCACCCCACTCTCCTCTTTCTCTCTTCTCTCCGGAAGTGTAAGAACCCAACTAAACTCCTTTCCAGATCCAATACCAAAGCCCAATTCATTTGTGCCCCTCCCTCTTGAGATGCTTCTCCTGTACAGCCACCCGGTACTAACAACTTGACCTCTGCCTTCTACCTTACGCTATTCCACGTCTGACTTCTGACTTCGGGAAAGGCCTTACCCATCAGTACTGGTAAATGGCCCAGGTGTGCTACCAGAGGCCCTGCTAGTTATTTACCTCCCAGGTATGCCTCTCCCACTTTCAAAGGGTCCAATGCTTTCTCAAGTGCTAAGACTTAGCTTTCCTCCCCTGTCCACTCTGAGGTTTTTCTCAAGAGAAACAAAAGTCTCCTCCTAAATAAAACCACACCAAACTAAAAACCAAGAGTTGACCTGGCCTTGGTATTAGGGTCTTGTAGGAAACTTCATATCCTTTGCAGGTCAATTCTACTCCTCCCTTTTTTATGACTGCTTTCTATGCCTTTTCCATTAAAACCTTAAAACTCCCTTTTGCACATATTCATAGTAAGGAACCAATGGTGCTACCTCTTCTTTCCTCAACCCGGGAATCAGCTGGACACCCCAAACTCATCTCTGTACATAGCCTCACCTCTTTACCCCATGTGTATAAATGGGTCCGTATTTAACACATTTTGTGATGTTGGGTTATTTATTTTGTGCATCTGTGGCAATAAATGAGATCTCAGTGGTGATAAGGATTTGACTGATCTCTGCAATTATGCATGGCAAGAGGCCTGGAGAACATCCTGATACTAGTAAGAAGGGAGGGGAGGGCTGGACATCTGGGCAGGCAGAGGCATCAAGCTTAGGAAGGAAGGGGTAAGAGTTAGAAGGGGGTCTACCCCTATCACTGCGCCCTCTCTTTCCCTCCCACTCCCAGAGACGGAAGCCCCTGGAACTGTACTGGATCTGTTTCCAAAGTTGGAAGACCAAAGGCTGACTTGGCACTAAGTGACCCGTCTCGAAGCCAGCTTTGTCCGAAATCCTAGATCACATGATAGGAGAAGTTTCATGACATTTTCTATTTTCCATCAAAGGTGAGAATGACAAAGACCTGTCTTCCCTAACTCCCCTTGAGGGCACAAGGAGATGGGTGGAAAGGCCAGGGGAAGGCTGGGAGCCCTGAGGTCTCCCAGAAGGCCTCCCATTCCTCAGGCAAGGAGGAAGAGTTAGGATTATATAAATACACGAGTGAAAGAGTTCTAAGCCAGGAAAAACAAGCATAGCTGTGGCAAGATTGCCTGGAATCTGACTGGGACCCTGGCAGTGAAAGCTGGAGCTGTTGGAAACTCAATCTAAGTGTTTGAGACTCAAGTAGAGAGAGCAGGGGGCCAAGATAACTGGATCCCAGGACAGGCAGTTTGGCAGTGAGAACAAAGGGAAGAGACAGGGACCAAGGTGCTTGGACCCTGGAGCGAGAAGGAGGGGTGCTGGAGAAATGAGAGCTGGGAGAACCCAGAAGTGTGGGTTGTAGAATAGCAGCAAGTCAGAATTCCAGGATCTCTGGCTACCTTCTTCTACCCTCCTCCCCCTTCCATCTATCAGGCAGTGGAGAGGGGAACAGGGCTTGGAGAAGGGATCAAACGATGGGTTTAGTCCTTAAGTAGCCACATGGATACATTCAGGGCCAGCCGAACACAGGGATGGCAGGGATGAGAGGAATTTAGTGCTGCATTGGCCCTGGCGGGGGCTGGGAAGGGTCCGGAGGCTGTGGAGGGGTGGTGGGGGTCGGTTCGGGAGTTGAATGACGCCGTCCTTTGCGGTGGCCCCGTACACAGTGAGTGTGACCACAGCCCTCGTCTTCCTCCTCATCGCTCTCCGTGGAACTCTCGCCAAAGGCCCGAGGTTTCTCATAAATACAGCAGCCTGGGTTTAGAGGGAGGAATCCAGTTAAAAAGGGGGGAAGAAAAAAAAAAGGGAGAAGAGTGAGACATACAGTCAGTTCCATTCCCAAATTCTTACTTCCATTATTATTTTCTACTTGCCAGAGTCCAGCTTCCCCAGGCCTACCCCTGGGACTCAGGCACCCCAACCCTGTCTTTTCAGAGAGTCAGGGATCCAAAGTTCCAATTCTCCCATCTGTGGTACCCCTTGCTTTCTGACCTTGGCATATCCTAATTCTTTTCCTCTAACTCTGATCTCCTCTCCTGGATACCAGGGAACCACCAAGGCAATGACAGGACTAGGAGCGCCTGGGGGCTTCAGGAAGGCCAGTGCCAGGGCACATGTAAAGGCAGAAGGAATGCGGTATGTAGGGGGGAACCAGACTGAAGGTTACTATGGGCCAACCAATACTCACATTTTGATGAACGGCGCCCCATATGTTCGTTATCCACAGTGTCACTCGTCCATTCCACCTTCTTCTCTGGTTTCCGTTTCCGCAGCTTGATGGTTAGGCTCCGATTCTCCTGGAAGGTACAGTAAAAGGGAGAGGCACTCCCTTCTAATTCCTTCCTATTGACTTCTCCCACTCTCTCCTAGGGGCCACCTCTCTTCCCTTCCCCAATTCAATCATTCACGGAAATGGCACTAAAAGCCGAGCCAGTAAAGTAGAACAGATCTTTGACCTCAGGGAGTCCCTTGAGTAATCATGAAGAATTATTTCCTGTTCTCAGTGACTACTAGTACACAGAAAAGACGCAATTCCTAACCTAGGGGAGCAAACCTTTAAAAGAAAACATAATCCTCCCTGGCTTTCCATTTTTCTCCCCAAATCATCCTTGATGTTATTAATATATAATTGTTTTCTCAGTCTCTAATGCCTACTCCTTGATCTCCCTTTCTTTTTTCAGGTCACCTATTCTTTTTCCCATTAAAGAGAGAAATACATCCTCACCTCAAGCCTAGCACCCCATACCCCATACCCCTACTCCCTACCACCCTATCTCTGGTAATTCTTGTTATAAACTTCTTTAATCCGGATGTTATAAAACCCAAAACTACTTTCTCTCTTTGATAGCAACCTAACCATTTTCTCCCCCTAAAATTCTATACTTCCTTCTATTTACAGCTCCAATTTCTCAAAGTATCATGTCATCTCCAAATTTCTTGTCCTCTCTACTTCTTTACTCATTCCTTGAATAGCTACTTATTGGTAAACACCTTTCCGATTAAATGCCCCTACTGCAGGCCTTCAAACATGCTTTCTTACCTCCACTGGATTTTTACATACATTTCCTTTAGTTTCCTATATCACCCCCTAGTCCCCGAGCTCCCATTCTTTCATTACGCATACACACCACCGCTGCAACAGCATCACCTACATCCTCTCTCTATTCCATGTCGCTTGCCCAGACTTCTGCACCATGCCTGCTGCTCCAACTATCTTCAGTAACTTGCAATTCTCCCAAACCCAGACCCTTAATCCCACGCCCCGCCTGGATCCCCCGGCCCAACCCCTCAGCAACTCTCCCAAGCCCAATCCCCTCCCTCCCAGTCACCCAGACCCCTACGCAGTACCACCCCCCCCCGCCTTTCTCACGGGTTCTGTTGTCACGGTAACCGTTGTCTCAGTGACGGTCTCACTCAGCCCAGCCCCTGCCTCGGCCATGGTTAAGGCTGAGAAGAAGGAAGGCGGGGAGGAAGCGGGATGAGACACCCTTCTCTTTTTCAGTGTCCCTGAGACTAAGAGAATCGGTATCGGATTCAGAAAAATAGTCTGGATCCTCGGCCTTCTTTTCCCCACTCCTCCTGGGCCTCCGCTTCCCCACCCCTGAGGATAACCTGTCCAATCCCACTTCCGACTCTCAACTTCCGGGTGTGACGCAGACAGTAGTCCCCGTTTTCACTTCCCGGCTACTGACTGCGTCAAAACGCGGGACTCGCCGGATTAGTTCCGCAGTGGTGTGCCAGTGCGCAGGCGCCGCGAGAAAGCGCTCGGAACTCGGCGGAAGAGGCGTCGCGCGGTGTGGAGGAGGGTGGGCAGCTTCGGACACCCCCTCAGCTCAAGGAGGGGTGGGGCGGGAGGACAGCCGGAGCTGCGGCGTCCGAGAGGTGTGGCTCGGCGCACCCCTGCCGTTGAGGCGGGGGAGGGTTGCGGCACCCGGTTCAGACCTGTGGTCGCTGAGCCAGCCCCTCCCGTCCTTATCCCTTTGTGGGAGCCTGGGGAAAACTAAGGAGCCTTAGTGACGCCTTACAGTAACCCACTGGCGTGGCTTCTTCCGTGGAAATTAGAGAAAAAGTGATCTAGGAACAGTTGTAGGCGTTTGAGCGGGTTTCTTCATGCACCTTCCATTTGGCGTTTTCTCCTGTCATTGCGCTAAGCCTTTAAGACGAAGGAGCATAAAACTCGCAGATCCTGCCTTTTAGTTCCCATTGTAACAGGGAAAGATTACGCGTTTAGTAGTAACAAAATGGTAAGTCATTGGGATACTAACCTAGAAATAAATCGCATCTATTAAATTTGATTCTGCCAGCATTTCTGGGGTGGAGATGAGTAATATTAAGGAAAGGTCATAAATTGGCCAATTTATGCTTTGATAGAAAATGTTTCTCAGGGATGCAAAAAAAAGTAAAAATGAGGGGGCCTCCCTGGCTGGAGCAAGGGTTTAAGTCTCAGCACTATGACGCTATCCACAGCCACTGCAGCTGGAGTTACATCCCAGCCAGGAGGCTGACCCACAATGGCACAGACCTGTCCCATCTCGCAGCTCTCCTCAGCATTGTTTCAGTCAATAAGCTTGTTCTGTTCCCCACTGTCTCTGGTGAATCCTCTCACCTGTACCCCGGTTCAAGAATGCATAAATTTTTTTTTTTTTAATGTAAAAATTAGAACCACAGGCAAATTGTTATATAGCTAGCTTATAATGTATTCCTTACACTGATGCAGTTTTGTACGCTGAGATATAAGGGGGATATTACATACCAAATGAGGCAACAGATGTCTGTGGTTACATACAAGTCTGTAAGCTTTCCTAAGAAAGTTGTGTTTTCTCCTGTATTAAGAAGCAGGGAAAGGCTTAAAGGATAGAAACATGAACAGAATTGCTTTAGGTTTCCGGGGTGGGGCAACAAAGTTACTGCCAGAACAGTTCAAATGAAATGTGGAAAGCTCAGCTCTGCTGATCCCTCCAAACTGCTTTCAGGGGGGTCAAAGAGAAGAGTTTATGTTTGAAAACTCTGCATACTGCTAGGTAATTACAATCATTACTGTAACACCTTGATTACCATGTAAATCAAGGAATGCCCTGACTAGATTTCCAAACACAAATCTGAATGTTTACTGAGCCTGGATTACATGTATTTGTTTCCCTTTCAGGTTTGTGACTCAAACAGAACAAGATACAATCCAGCATGTATAGTGGAGCCCATTAAAAGAACAAGTATCTCCATATAGTGGGATTCCTTGATTATTACTTTTTTCTACCTTTCTACATATATTTCAATGAATATATTTATCTCAAGCAATTAAAATATATGTGCATATTCCCAAAATGTCACTTTTAGTAAGTATTTACTATTCCCTTGGTATCAGAATTTATTGTCCAAACTTTCATATCAAGTAGAGCTGGTTAAATTATCTATTGAATTGCTTAGCATGCAAACTCCCACTTTTTGTTTCCCTAAAATGTGGGTATATACTTGTAAGTTGCTTTTTTATATTGGTTCATTCTTGGCTCCATTTTCTCATACTTGTATTTTTCTTCCTCATGTACTAATTTATATTATCCTTTTGTACTTGCTATATTTGTTGACAAAACACATCTCTGTAAGCTCATTTAAATTCCTTTTGAAACAAGATATTGTAAATAATATACATATGCCTGGGTCTTATGGAAAATATAACTTACTTTTTTATTGAAGTAACATTGTACTGATATAACACTCTTAAGTTTCGGGTATGAAAATATAACTTTGATAAGGAAATTTAATTAGGGGTAGGAGCTCTCTGAGAACAGTTGGTATTCCCCATATGATGATCTGCTTCCTTTGGGTAGCAAAGCATTCAGCCAGGAGGTCTAAAAACCTAATATCCTCCACCTTCCAAGGAAGCCTGGATTGAGTCATCCAAAATAAAAATCAAGAGTCTTCCTTCTCCTGGAACCTATGGAGAAATAAAGGATTTGTTATATTTGACCAAAGTAAGTGGTTCAAGCAATTTAAAATGAGATACTCAAAGAACATTCACATTATGCTAATGTGAAGTACTGGCAGCTCTGACTCTTCCTTCAAGACAACTGAAAAT